CACTCCTATGAAAATTATAATATATTAAAGGAAAAATAATAAATCTTACAAATATCTTGCCATTTATTGATATTTAAATAATGAAATTTAGTGAAGTGAACTGGGCGTTGCAATGCTATTTCTATATTTAGACTGTTTTCGAAGGTATCTAATCAGAAAGATACAGCTAACAATTAAAGCAATTTCTGCAATAGTACCAAACACTGATGCTAATATGATAGAAGTAGTGTTTAAAGAAGTAGCATTTGTAGAAATAGGGTTGGTAGGATTTGTAGAAGTAGATTTTAGTGGTGTAAAATTTGTAATAATGAAATAATTGGTTCTATTTGCTATGTTTATAATATCGATGGTATTTAATCTATTTTCTGTTAAATTTCTCCCTATTATAGATAAATATTTTATATTTAATAATATTTAATAATTATATATAAAATACTAGAATTTGGGAAAAGATTTTTAATAAAATACAAAAATTAATAAACAAGTAATTTCTAATTATATGTGCAGTATGATAAATTCTAATAACAGATGTTTGATTGAATAGCTGAGGAGAAGACCATTCAAATACACCATTAATATATTCAAGAACTGCAAATGTAGAAACTGTTCCAGAATCATTATATAAAAATTCGACCATCTAATGCTATTTTAAAATAAAATATTCAGTCTTGAATCATATAAAGGTAATATACTAGCCAGAACTTCAAGAATACAAATATGCTTATTAGTTGTGCATATAATACCTATAGATGCTGTATGGCCCTCTCGTGGTAATAGTAGTCTACCATTTGTAACTACTGCGGTCTCAAAATAATGTTATAAGTACTTGCCACTTCTCAGAAAATACTAATATCAAAATTATAATTTTCCACATATGTTCTAGTAAATTAATACAAGAGCAAGGTCATTATATTATTATTATCAAATTATTATTATTGCTTACCTTTATAGTCCATATTGATGTTTTTGTATTGTACAAAAGAATCTAAAAGAAAAGTTATATATAAATATTTTATTCTATATAGTTTATATGATTTTCTTAACAATTATTTTCCTGACACAATTCAATCAATATTAATTCTATCATTTTCAAACAGCTCCCTCAATATAATTTATTAGTAATCGAGATGCTATTCAACTATTGAGTTTAAGTTTTATTTAAGTATTTCTACAATGATTTGATGCAAATTCAATGTGCAAAATGCGAATTAAATTTTAGTCAATCAGAGTAACTATAAAAAATAGACAGCCACACTTCTATATTTTATTCATTGAAATGATAACTCATTTATTTGATTTCAGAACTATAGAGTAAGGTGCTTTAAAATGCTCTGAATCAGGCATCTCATCTCTAAATTGGCCAACCTTAGCTGTTAGGAAAAAATTAATAAATTTATTAAAGTTAATATGTAATTTAGCCTGGTTGGTATAGTGCTTTGCCAAACACATCAGTCCTGTCTGGTTTTCTAGTATCTGGCTGATCATTTTTTACATAGTAAGTATTAAAGATTTGTGCTACCTTTCTACTCAGATTTTGCCAAGTAGGCTCCTGTATTCTGTTATTTCGCTAGATTTATTCGGTAGCTTCATTTGAGTTTCATATAACTCATATATTACACTACATGTTCTACTACCTCTCAGTACAAGCTAGTGCGACTTCTATAACCTAATAGGATACAGTCTTCCAAATATATTTTCTGTAAATTTAAATTTTTATTGGCAGTAGAATTTGAACTTTGGACCTGCCACTTAGAAGTGCGACAACTTGCCAACTTCACTAAGTTACCACACCCTCACAAACTCTTTTAATTAAAGTAAATAAAATATAAAAACAGGTACATACTTTATATAGAAAGTTAGAAATCATCATCAGTTAACTTAAGATGACTTTAAATTTTTTTTTTATTTATATTTAAACAAAAAATTTAAGTATTTATTTATATTACAACAGTTATATTTTAATTTAATTATCAAATGATACAAATTACTAACTCTTCTTAATGATCACTTGTACCAAACTTCTCTTAAAAATAATTGCTATTTTTCCAAAATTTCATTAAGTAAACCTCTTTTGGCTGCCTAAGTAAAGTTGTTCTACACTTAATTTTACTTATAGGTGGCCTAGTTTTATA